GCAATGCCCCAGACACCACTCAACCACCAGGATCCTCTCTTCCCCTTCACGGGTCATCACGCACAGCAAACACGTGGATGGATGTTTAGATCCCAGAGGAGGTAACTGAAAATACAGGACCTTCCCCAGGAGGTCCCCTCACCATGTACAGGAATCCACCTTGAAGGTTGTTTCATAGGATATTTATACTGTATCCTACTTTACTTTCTTTATAGTGGACTGCTTTGTGACAGCCACATGGAGAAGAGGTATTTTTCACATTCCAGTATCAATTTTACAATTCATCACCTATGGAGAGAAGGTGCTTTGAGAATGCAGTTTGGGATTTTTACATAAGATCTTTTTTCTGATCTCTCATGAGAGAAGATTTGGTCTAAAACTTGATGAAGTTTTTCTTTTTGTTCTAGCCTTTAAGCCATGAATTCTGCTGATTATGCAATCATCCTTAATTAAATATGTTTACTTCCTTTATTTACTTTTACATCTTACCTTCTGACTTGCAATAGTCCTTTTACTTTGAAAAATCATCTATATTCTTCAATTTGTTTTCCAGTAAAATAACATGTTTTATTTCAATCACACCTTCAACATCATGCTTTTCTCTTTCAATCCATCTCTAAAAAATCACTACACTCTTATTTTCATGTATGAGATCTTCAAAATTTTTAAGTTTTTTAGATATCACATAACAGTGATCTTAATCTTTAGATTATTACACACTGAGTGGTTCTGTGTAACTTATATTCACTACAGCTATTTCCAAACATGGTTATATTTCACCAGTTCTATAAGATAGTTGATTAAACAGGAAATTAGGAAATCAAAAATGGTATATGAAAAAAAGGTACACAAAATTGTAAAAATTTACAGTAACGATTTCTTTAAATACCCTAAGGATAAGAAAATGTTAGAATGACCTTTGAGGAGTAATAAAATAAGGCATTTATGTTATGATTATCAGATGGCTGGTTACTAAATTCTATTTTTTCTTCAGTTTTTACTTATGAAGACGTAAGCAAAATTCCTTATCCTGAGCAACTGTTAAATGGAAACAAGATTAATTCTGAGCTTGTTAAGAAAAAAATTGGGCAGTTTAAAGGACGATAAATCTCCTGGCCAGATAATATCATACCAAGGGTTTTGAGGAGGTTAAGTAGTGGATATGGGAGATACTTGTTATTACTTTCTGTAAGTCCTTGAATAGTTGGCAGGTACCAGAGGATTGGAAGTTGGTTAATATTACTCTCTTTACAAGGAAAGTGATAAGTGGTAGGAAAAGTTTTTGAAAGTCTGATATAAGATGCTTTGCAAAATCATATAACAAAGTTTAAATTTTATCGGATAATCAAAATATTGCCTTACTAATCTTTTGACATTCTTTGAAGATGTTACTGCTTATGTAGATTGGGGTAGAGGTGTTGATTTGGTGTCTGGGTTTTCCGAAAGCATTGGACAAGATGCCATATAAAAGACTTGTTTAAAAAATTATCTCTATAGGTGTGGGGGATAAATTGGTTCATTGTATAGAAAAGTGGCTGGAAAAAAAGAAAACAGAGGGTTGTTATAAACAGATTTCAGTCAAACTGGATTAACATCACAATGGAGTACCTGAGGGAGCAATGTTAGCATATTTCCTCTTTTTAATTTACACTAATGAAATAGATGAAGGAATATTCCATATGTTACTTAAGTTTGCTGATAGTATTAAGATCTTGGGTGTTGCTGGCTGTGAGGAATGCTGCTTTATGAAAGGATTTGTATCATTTGAGTAAATAAATGGCAGATTGTTTTAATCACAATAAATGCAAGGTAATACATGTGGGTTATAATTATTTAAATAATTTTAAATAAAGGTATAATTTCTTTGTATAGGACACTAGTTAGGCCACACTTGGAGTGTTATATTCAGTTTTGAGTTCCTTACCTTTAGAAAGACACTTAATATCTGCATGGTGGCACTACAGGGGGGCAAGGGAGCATTTGCCAACTCAAATGTTGTTCTTGCCACTCAAAAATTTAAACCTACATACATAGAGCAAATGTAATGTGTATAACAAAAAAAACACGTTCACAAGCACACAACCATTTTACGGGATTTTTTTTTCTTGTGTGCTAGAAGTCAACTAGATATATCATACAATAATAGGTATTCCCTTTAACCCTACTTTTTTATACTAATGGTACTACTCCACTAAATTATTATTTATTTAATTAAATAATGCATGAAGGAACATTATTCATTAATCCACTTTTAAAAGGACTTGTGATCCCCCCCCCCAAAAAAAAAAAAATTGCTAGATACGCTAGAATTGTCTAAAACCTTCTGATCCTTTCCAAGGTCTGTGAGTACTTTGAGGCTTCAAAACTCAATACAAAGTATTTTTAAAACCCAACATTGGCTCAATGTAATTTAGCATGGTAAAATGTGAGGGGGAATAGCGAGTCTCTTCAAAATTACACATGAGTATAAGATGTCTTGTTTTGTCCCCCACCCCAAACTTTTGGTGCTGGTGTTGCCACTGAATATCTGTAAAGGGTTCAGAGAAGAGCTACTAAAATGATATCTGGGATGGAAAAGTTGTCATAAAAGGACAGGTTAAGATCTCTGATAGTGTTTGCTTTTGAAAAAAGAAAAGTAGAGGAGATGTGATTGAGGTACTTAAGATTGTCAAGGGATATGATTGTATTGATGTATCATCATTTTTCGTAGTTAATGGTGAGAATGATAGAACTAGGGGAACAAATATATATTTTGGCAAGGTAGGAGTCATCTTCAGCTAAGACAGTTTTATTTTTTAAACAGGGTACTTGGACTTTGGAATGACATGCCTTCAGATGTGGTAAAAGCAGTATATTTAAAGGACTTTAAGGAAAGGCTGGACAAATATTTGAATGATAAGGGTTGAGGTTTTTTTTTTAATAGTTTAGTGGGTGGGACAGCCGAAATGGACCAAAAGGTCCCTTGATGTCCTTAAATCTTATGTTATAAAGTAAAACAATTTGAACTTTATATAAATATTTTTTCACTAAACTGCTTTCTCTGTAACAGATGTATTACATTACACTGAGAAGTAGATAAAGAATAAACAGACCATGGACATAGTAAAGAGTTGTTTTAATGAGGTGACACTCTGAAGAAGAACCACAACAACACCACCACCTTCTACTGTTTCTATAGTTCTAGCCAGTAAGTTTGGAGTTATTGCTTCAAAGTCCTGAAGTACCAGCATTCCATAGGTGTTGCCCAAAATCTTGTGAGTTTCACTTCATAGAACAAAAGAAACTAGTTATAACGAATATCTATAAAATTCAAGACATCATATAAATTCAAATATAAGGAATAATAACTAACTATAAGAAAACATTGTCTTAAATCATTTTGCCAATTACATATATAAAGTGCATGAGACAAGGCAGAATCTCTTGAATATTCTACTTGCATTATGTACTGAATACTCTCCTCCAACTATGACAAGCTACATCACTGAAATCTCAGGCAGACTAGAAGACTGATTCTGTGAACATCAGAAACAAAAAATTGGAGCCTAAGACTTCCATGTTTAAATACTTTGGCTCAAATGGACACTATTTATTTCATCCGTCAGTATTTGTACAAAGAAAAGGAATAGTACTGGACACAAGCTAATTTTTGAGCTTAGAGTAAGCACTTTCTTAGGATATGAAAAAAAAAAGTTTCTTTTCTGTAATCCTATACTTTATTTTGATTTAGATATTTTTCTATTACACGTTGAAAGCATATGCAACTCTGAATGAGTTTTGTGGCTTCTTATATATCTTAATTACTTTACTAAGTAGTTTTTACTTTCTTATTGTCTTAGCAGTGATATTTTAACAATGTATTTGATTAAATAGTGCCTTTCAAAATGTTTAATGCTTTCAGGTTCCTGAATCTTGAGCCTTATAAACTAACCTATTAAATTTTGTGATTGATGTAAAACACAGTTTCATCTCACCTTATTTAATCCCTGTGGTTAATTTCAAGTCATGTTACTTATCCAAGTATTAACAGCTAGCCATTGTAAGCACTTTTTCTATTATTTTTAATAGCAAACGAATTAATTTGTATTAATAATATTTACCAATTTGCATATAACTATGATCGGTTATACTAAAAACAAAAAGTGGGATACATATATATACTGTAAGTTTAAGATATGCAATGAGAATGTAAACCATAAGAACAATAAAACTAAATATAAATTCAAAAGAATAATGTCTGCCTGACAAAATGTAACAATTATATCAACATTTCACTTTAAATAACACATTTTGTTGGCTTGTCTTTAAGCTTTACTAAAAAGTCAAAACTATTTGCAGAGCCATTAGAAGAAGACAAAGAACTAACCTTCTTTTAAGATAGTCTGAAATAAGATGGTTATTCAAAAACCTTCCAGAAACATGCCCTTTTATTTTTTATTTGTATCATTATATTTGTTTATTAGATTTAATTTTATACTTATCAACAAATGAAGCTCATATTGCCTGTAATACTGTTAGATTCAGTTTTTGAAACTGTTCCATATTTGCTAATTGCAAAACCACACATACTATTTAATAAAAACTACACTAAGGAAGGTGAAAGTTCTCCAAGAGTAAATAGATGTTAGAATTATTATTCAATTTATAGGTTTTCTGTATTACTAACAGGTTCAAATGAGTTAAAATAATGAATTTATATGACTTAAGAAGATATGAAAGACTTTAATAACAATTAATAATTTTACAGCGAAGTTGCCTAGAGGTTTATGAAGCATAAGTTAACTTTTAAAACTACACAACTACAATTACTAGTTTCATTACTGGCTCAGTAAACCACTAAATGTATGACCTTACCCATAATAACTCCATCTAATATTAGTGGCTGCTATAAAAAGTTCAAATGGATCATCTTCTTTCACATCTATCTTTCCACTTTTTATTTTCTTCTGTAAGTTTTTTCATTCGTTTC